CTTCACACCACCCCAAACGGGCCCTAGCACCCAGCCTCGGCGTGGCTTTCCGCGCACTGCGGGGCCTGACTTCCCGGGCTGTGATGGGTGGACATGAAGGGGGGGCACTCTAGCTAATGGTGGGGCGTGCCGGCCAGGGAAGGGCCCGGCTGCACTGTGTCCCGCGTGGGCAGGGCACCTGGTGACGGCGGCTCTCTGCGGCTCCCCCTCAGGTACCCCGAGAACGGCGTGGTGCAGATGAGCTCCCGGGACGTCCGCTCGCGGGCCCGCACCGTCCTGCCCTGGGAGGAGCTGGAGGTCGGCCAGGTGGTCATGCTCAACTACAACCCCGACAACCCCAAGGAGCGTGGCTTCTGGTACGACGCCGAGATCCTGCGCAAGCGCGAGACGCGGACGGTGCGGGAGCTGTACGCCAACGTCATGCTGGGGTGAGCCGCGGCGCGCCCACTCTTCCCCCACCGCCCAGCACCCCTTTCCCTGTTCCTCTGCCGCCGAGTCTCGTGTCCGGGGAGGACACGGGCAGCAGAGCGTGCACCAGGCCAGCAGCCTCTTGGTGGGCCGGCCCCTGGAGCCACCATTCCTCCCCGTGGCCCCACAGCGCCAGCCAACCTTGACAGCCCACCTGCTTCCGCCCACGCCTGCGGCCTGCTCAGACTTCAGGGCGGCTCTGGTTAGCATTTCAGGGGCTCGGGCACAGCAGGTGGGGTGTGTGTGTGTGGGGGGGCTTCTTTGGGTGTCTTGCTTATTTTTTGGTGTGTTTTAATTTGGACAAACAAGTTACGTGTTGATAAAAAAGATTTTGGGATTGTGAATTAACAGTTTTATTGGCATGTAATTTACGTTATCATACAGTTCAATAGCTCAGTCGTTCGATTCTATCAAAGGGAATTGTACAATCATTGCCACATCGATTTTAGAACATTCTGCCCCGCCCCCTCCCCACCAGTAATCCCGAATCTAATAGTGGCTCTTGTCACCTGGAGTTCTAATGTGTCACATTCTGGGTGTGAGCAGGCGCCCGTGGGCAGTTGGGTCTTCACGTCCCCGGGACCCTGCCCCCAGCCCAAGAATGTGCCAAGTCGTGTGTACCCATGTGACCTCTGCCCATCCCCCAC